CACCTTAAAGCAGGTTTCACTTGAAGAACGGTCAGACGGGCATGAGGGTCCAACGCAGACCGAGGACCCGACCAACGCTGCTTGCAGCTTTAATTATTATTATTATCAGTTTGTGGTTCCAAAATGCGGTTGAGTTACTGTATATTACAGCTGTCCATTGTTAGTGAAGCCTTTCAGTGTCTGAACAGATGTGTAGGTGAGCTGGTGTGCTGAGCTGCAGTGAGAGGAGGAGCAAGGACTCATAGATCTGCACATTCTAGAGCAATCTGCAGTGTAGAGTTACATTGAACACGTTTATGTCAGGAAGTTCCTATTTTCATGGAAAAGCTGCTAAACATGAAACTCAGATCCACAGATGAGTTTTAGGGGACAGACTTTAACTGTGTGTCTGCTTCAACAGACCTTTGGATCAGCTGCTTCTTTCCTGTCGTGGTAAAAAACCAGCTGAAGGTTCTGAACTGTTGACTGTCGGTACTGTTGAACCTGAAACAGAAATGTTGCCTTCAGAAGCTGAAATGATCCAGTTGTAGTCAACAGAGTTCCAGTGCAGTACCTTCTCAGATGCTGGTCCACTGCTGAGCTCCTTCAGTCCAAACACTTCATCTATCCGAGTCTTCTTTTCTTCCATTTCCTTCATTGCCTTCTCAAACTGTTCCTGTAATGATATGCTTCAATTTCAGCCAGTAAACAAGAGAAGGACCTAAAATTCATTAAAGACAATCTGAGTAAGAGTTCAGTAAATACATTAAAGTCATCTCACTTCAGACTACTGTACCTGAATCAAATTTTTAACAGACTCTGGACTTTCATGATTTGATTTCATATGTTGTTTGATTTTAGGCCACTGCTGCCTCAGATCTTCATAAAAGCCTTGAAGTCTGCTTCTACTGACTGGGCTGTTCATGCTCTCAAAACTTCTTCCAGTCTTCATTGACAGAGCGACGTCTCCCGCCACTCTGTGAAAAACAAAGAAAACTGTGAGGACCTAAATCTGTTTCTAATTAAATCAACAATGTGATTCTCAGCAGTTAGTTACAGATATTTCAGTGTTCGCAACATTGCAGGTTCATTACCCGTCTTTGAATGATTTCAGTTGTTCATCTTTTTCTTCTAGAGCAGATCTGTGGATTAAAATATGGAGCACGTAAAATAACTGCTGTCATGGTTAAATATTCAAGATGGCGGCGCCCTGCTCGGCTGCACGAGCTCACGGATTGTTTTTGTGTGATTATCAAGATGAACTCTGTGAGTTCAGCGGCTAATCTGCCGTCTATAATAAAGACCTGTGTGTACAATCACCAGCTCCAACACTTTTCAAGCTATGAACTCGGACACTCTGGAGAGGCTACGTAGCTTCGACCTGCCAGCGGCTGAGGTGGCAGCGGAGCTTCCTTCCCACACAGACCGGCGCAGGGAGAGACGGAGGCGGTGTGACAGAAAGTGTAAGTCGGGCTGCAGGGCTGGTCTATCGGCTAAGCCACATGTGTCAAACTCATGGCCCGCGGGCTAAATGTGGCCCGCCACGTCATTTAATATGGCCCGCGAGAGCTTGAAAGGTCTGAGCGTTCAAAAATAAATAGGTCAAAAACGTGCTTTGACCAAAACCTACATTTCCCACAATGCATGTCGACTGTGTTACCCTCTCTGACCCGCATATCCAGATGGTAGCGGTAATGCTCCTCCTATGGTTGTGATCCGCCGTTAAATTCAAAGAAGAAGGATTGTGTCACCCGCAAAGTGACGGCTTGCCGCCAGTACACGGCAGTGTTTCAACACTGCCAACAAATGGAATTGAGAAATACAAATAACAATCCCAAAATGTCCAGAAAGAGAAAAGTTGATACAGATGGAAGGCTGTTTCAAGAAAGATGGAAAGGCGAATACATGTTTGTGCTTCAAGGAGAAAGACCGGTATGTCTTTTGTGTTATGAGGCGATGTCGGTTGTCAAAGAGTACAATCTAGGCCGGCATTTTGACAACAATCACGGAGCTAAGTATGGCAAAGCTAGCTGTCAAGAAAAGCAACAAATTGCACAAGAATTAAAAGGCAAACTGCAGTCACAGCAGAAAATGTTCACGAAAGCCACAGCCAAAAACAATGCGGCAGTGAAAGCTAGCTTTATTATGGCTGAAGAAATTGCCAGGCTTCAAAGTCTTTCTCAGAAGGAGCGTTTTTGAAGCAGTGCATGCTGAAGGTCTGTGAGCAGCTATGTCCCGACCAGATACAGACTTTTAAAAATGTCAGTTTATCAAGAAACACCATCACGGACCGAGTTAAGGAACTAGCAGAAAATCTTGCAGCACAGCTGGCCGAGGAGACACACAGCTACACAGCTTTTTCATTAGCTGTTGATGAAAGCACAGACAACATGGATAGAGCGCAGTTATCAATTTTTTTTAGAGACGTGAAGTCAGATCTCTTTGTCACTGAGGAGCTGTTGGATATAGTTGCTATGCATGGAACTACAACGGGACAGGACATTTTTGATGCAGTGGAGAAGATCGTAAGTAAAAATGCATTGCCCTGGGAAAACTTGGTGGGATTAACTACAGACGTCAATGTGTGGAGAAAAAGGGGGCTTGGTTGGACAAATGAAGGGGAAAATGCAAAAAATGAACTGTCACACGCCTCTGATAACGTATCATTGCATTATCCATCAAGAAGCTTTGTGTGGGAAGGTGCTGGGAATGGATGACATAATGACCACGGTCATAAAAACTGTGAACTTCATTTGGGTGCGCGGCCTAAACCACCGTCAGTTCCAGCTGTTTTTGCAGGAAATGGGCTCAGAGCACGGGGATGTGCCGTACCACACAGAAGTGCGGTGGCTGAGTAGGAGCAAAGTCCTTCAGCGATTTTTTGAGCTCAGGGAAGACATTGCTGTTTTTATGCAGAGTAAAGGAAAACCCCTGTCTGAACTGTCAGATCCAAAGTGGCTGTGTGACTTTGCTGTGTTGTGTGACATAACCGAGCATCTCGCCCAACTGAATCAGAAGCTGCAGGGACGCAAACAAGTCATCACGCAGATGTCTGACATGATCACGGCTTTCCAGCGTAAACTAGACCTATGGATGTGCCAAGTGAAACAGGGCAATCTTGCCCACTTTCCTGTTTGTCAGAGAATGTCAGCCTCATTTCACGGGACTTTTTCATGTGCTCAGTTAGCTACCAACCTAAGCCAGTTAAAGACTGAGTTTGATTGGCGCTTCTCTGACTTCAGAGCACAGCAGTCTGGCTTTGCCATCTTTGCCAATCCTTTTACCACTGACATCTGCACTGCACCCCGTAACCTTCAGATGGAGTTAATTGAGCTTCAAAGCGACAGTGGCCTGAGAGCAAAGTTCCAGGATGCTGCGATCCAGGAATTTTACCGTCTGCTGCCCCCTGGTCTGATGCCACAGCTTCGACGTCATGCTGCCCGTGTTCTGTCCATGTTTGGGAGCACCTATCTGTGCGAACAGATGTTTTCTATAATGAATCTGAACAAAAACAAGCATAGATCACGTCTCACTGATGACAACCTCCATTCTGTTCTACGGATTGCCTCAGCACAGGACCTAAAACCAGACATTGACACACTGGTAATGGGAAAACGGTGCCAGACATCTGGTCAGAAAGAGAAAACACATAGGTAAACATTTTCAAAAACCTAAATAGAATATAGTAAAATGTAACTCAACCAAGAAGAAGAATAGTTAAACTGTGCAATTTAATTAATGATTGTGCTCGCATTTTTTTTTTTTTCAGAACATGATCATTGGATGGGAGAGGGGATCCACTTGGTGTGTTCAAGGACCGGCAGCATCTCCTCATCAAAAACTAACCTAAAAACTTGACCAATATAGTTGTGAACTGAGTCAACCTTTATTTTTGCATTTTTAGTTGATTACATACTTATTTATGTGTAGCTGCTGTTGCAATGTATTTAGTGTTTGCAGGTTTTATGTGTTTATGCAGGCAAATGTTTTTTGTAATCAAAGCATCTCATTAGTTGGATGCAAGGCTGTTGCAGCCATTTTTTTTTTGTAAAATGCTACATCTGTCACACATGTTCTTAGCAGCTCACAATTTTTGATTTTACAATGATTAAGCCCCTTTTAACAGCGACAAATGTTTTGATCAAAGTTAATATAACTTGTGTTTAATGTTATTTTTTTATTCACTTGAATAGTTTGATCCTTGATTGATGGACTTAAGTGGGTTTTATCTTGCATAAGTAATAAATTCAGAGTTATTTAACATTAAGGAGTAGTTACATTTATTTTACATTACATTTGGTTACATTTAGTTACATTTATAAGTTACATCTGGCCCTTTGAGGACAGCCATTATGCTGATGTGGCCCTCGGTGAAAATGAGTTTGACACCCCTGGACTAAGCTGAGAGCTAAAACTCCGCTCCCATCTGTTTTACTGTCTAATGTTTGCTCCCTGGAGAACAAACTGGACTATCTCAAGCTGGACGTGCAACAAAATGGGAGGTGAGAGGCTGTTGTGTCCTTATTCTGATGGAATCGTGGCTGAACTCGGCTGTACCTGACGACGCCATTAGCCTACAGGGGCTAACTACAATCCAACTGGATAGGAGCCAAGCCCCTTAGTGGAAAAGCCCATGGTGGAGGTGTAGAACTTTACATCAATGAAAAATGGTCTAACAACACAGTAGTGGTCTCCAGTCAGTGCTCTCCTGACACAGAGCTCCTTGCTGTGAAATCCAGACCATTTTACTTGTCCCTGGAACATTCCACGGCCATCATCATGGCGGTGTACATCCCCCCAGTGCAAACACAAACCTGAGTGTTCTGTACCAGACCATCACAAAGTTGCAAACCACACATCCAGAAGGCATTTTCATTGTAGCTGGAGATTTTAATCAGGCTGTCATGAAGTCCGTTGTCCCCCAATTCCAGCAATATGTGGACTTTGCAACTAGAGGATCCAACACACTGGACTTGGCCTCCACAAACATCAGAAATGCCTACAGAGCTGCCCTCGACCCCACCTTGGCTCCTCTCACCATCTGTCTGTGATGCTAATACCAGCATACAAGCCCTGCTGACCAGAGGAAAACCCACTGTGAGGCAGGTAAGGTCTGGCCTGAGGGAGCAATGGAAGTCCTCCAGGACTGTTTTTGAGACTGGGACATGTTCAAAGCTGCTGCAACGGACAATGAACACACCAGTGTGGAGGAGTCTGCTACATCTGTATCTGCCTACATCCAAAAGTTCACAGAGGACCTCTGCATCATGAAGAACATCTCCACCAGAGCCAACGAGAAGCCATGGATGACGCAAGAGGTACGGGAGAAGCTGAAAGCACGGAGCTCCACTTTCAAGTCTGCCGATGAGGTCGGGCTCAGAACAGCCAGAGCTCAACCGGGCTGTCAGAATAGCAAAGCGTGCACATGCTGGGAAGATTCAGAGCTTTTTCCATGATCCCAACAACACCAGGAGCATGTGGCAGGGGATCCAGGCAATAACAGATTACAAGGCTTCTCCTCCACGAACTGAATGATTTTTTCTGTCATTTTGGAAGGAACACCAACAATCCTGCAACAACAACCAGCCCCCTCCCTGATGAAACAGCACTGAACCTCAGTGTGGCTGTGACCCGGGGGAAAGTGAATGTGTACAAGGCAGCAGGTCCTGACAGGACGAGTACTCAGGGAGCGTGCTGACCAGCTGGCACTGGTGCTGACGGACATCTTTAACACCTCGCTGGAGCAGGCTGTTGTTCCATCATGTTTTAAATCTGCCACTATTATAGCACTGCCCAAAAAATCTACCATCACAGGCCTCACTGACGTCCGCCCTGTGGCACCAACACCCGTAGTGATGAAGTGTTCTGAGAGGCTGGTAAAGCACCACATCATCTCCACACTGGATGTGACCCAACAGTTTTCTTACCGCTCCACCGAGGATGCCATCTCCTGTGCTCTCCACCTGAGCCTGGCACATCTGGAGGATCAAAACACCCACATGCTGCTGGCTGACTACAGCTCAGCATCCAACACGATCATCCCCCAGCAGCTGGTAAGCAGACTGGGTCCACTGGGCATCAGAAGCCCCATGAGCGACTGGCTGCTAGACTTCCTCACCAACAGACCACAGTCAGTGAGAGTGAGAAACACCATCTCCAGCTCCATCTCTGTCTCAATCGGATCTCCACAGGGATGTGTTCTGAGCCCACTACTGCCCACTGCTGACATGACTGCTGCTCTGCATCAAACCACATCATAAGTATGTGGGTGACACAACAGGAGTGGGTCTCATTCGGGACAACAAAGATCAGTCCTACAGAGAGGAGGTAGAACAGCTGGTGGACTGGTGCAGTGCAAACAATCTGGTCCTGAATGTAAAGAAGACCCAGGAGTTGATCATTGACTTCAGGAGGAAGCAGCCCAGTCATTCACGTCTCACCATCGACAACAAAGCTGTGGAGGTGGTCAGCAGCACCACGTTTCTGGAGACAGTCTGGACTGGTCACTGCACACAGCATCTGTGGTCAAACGGGCTCAGCAACGTCTGCACTTCGTACAACGGGTGATGAGACCACAGCTGTCCCCTCCCGTCCTGACCACCTCCTACAGAGGCACCATAGAGAGCCTGCTGACCAGCTGCATCTCCATCTGGCAGCTCCAGGGCCTCAGATAGGAAGTCGCTGCAGAAGGTGGTCGTCTGGACAGCAGAGAAGATCGTCGGGACTTCTGTTGCATCCATCCAGGATGTTGCACACAAGCACTGTCTCAGCAGAGCCCGATACATCATCAAGGACTCCACACAGCCACACCATGGACTGTTCTCCCTGCTGTCCTCTGGGAGGAGGTTCTGCAACAGTTTCATACCCCAAGCCATCAGACTCTTAAATTCACAATAGTCCTTCTGGGCAGGGGCCCCCATGGTTCATTGTGAATTGTAACAGCTGCTACATTTCATGTTTCATTTCACTGTTACACTGCAGAACTGCTGCTACTGCTTTACTGTGGAAATAAATGTGTACGGATGTGTATATACGCAAGTGTGTATTATATGTGTGTGCCAAAATGTGCACCAACTAGTGTATATTCTGTCTGACAATAAAATGGCTATTCTATTCTATTCTATTCTATTCTATTCTATTCTATTCTATTCTATTCTATACGGTGCTTAAAAAGTTTTCACTGCCTTGGACGTTTTCCTCCTTTATCTTTTTCCAACATTGAAGCATGATCAATTTTATATGTCTTTTTGACATTTACAAAAGACTTGAAGCAACTTGGTGAAAATGTTGTTGAAAGGCATCAGTCAGAGGACGACACAAGAACAAGTCAAAGTTACTGAACATCTGTTGGAGTCCAGTTAGATCTTTCATTGAGAAATGGAAGGAACATGGAACATGAGTAGATCTGACCAGAACAGGACGTTCTCAATGACTGAGTGACCAACAAGAAGGAGACTAGTGAGGGAGGCCAGCAAGACTCCTGTGACTCCTCTGAAGGAGTTTCCAGCTTCACCTGAGATGGAGAGACTGTTCATAAAACATCTGTTGTCTATTTTTCACCATCAAAGCTTTATGGGAGACAAAGACTCTGTTGGAAAATGCTCAGATTAAATTCACCAGAAGACCTCTGGAGACTCTGAAGTCACCTGGAAGAAGGTTCTTTGGTTTGACTTTTTCTTTGCCAGGAGCAGCATCAGTTACCATGGAGACCGAGCTCCACAGCATCAGTTACCATGTAGACCTAGCAGGTGAAAAAGGGAGACACCTTCGTGACACTGAAAATTCTGGCTTTAAACTGAACATACCTGATAACCCACTAATCTGGCTTCATGGTGCAGCCCTCTGATAACTGAATCGATACAACACTGACATTTTTTTGATAACTCTTTAGCTTACTAACTGACTACTATACATGAGGACTGTTGGATTGTGTTGTATCGTCCAGGTGTTACTGTGTCCAAACTTTGATGTTCAGCTTGAGCTGATTTAAAACCTGAAACTGGTCGACCATCTCTGTCATTTTGTTTATGAATAAAATAAAAAGTTACTCAGGTCAAATCCCATCAGATCACAGATTCATTATTACAATCACTGGTTCTGGTAACATTCATGCTTATTGGATGGTTGACTGTTAAACTGTCTGATCATTGATATCAACAACAGAAGGACCTGAATGGACCCAGCAGGTTGAACTAACTGTTAGTTCCACTGAACCATCCAGGTGTTATTGTGTCCACACTGTGTCATTTATAGTAGATTTACATCCTGATACACATGATTTTAATAGTAAGATCAGAAGATGTTACCTGGTCTT